TATATATATATATATATATATATATATATATATATACACGGAGGATGGTGAAAGTTTCGTCGTCGTTTCGAAGTATCAGTTTTATTTCACTTCGTTCGTACTATCGTTGTGTGTTTGCACGAGGAAATTTATTGCCGCCTCTGAGAATTAATTGTTGACGGTATCATGAATCAACGTACGGGTGTTTGTCGATGGATAAATCAGGTTCAAACACACCGTGTATAGCATAACACGTCAAACTTGCATAATATTAAACCGCTAATACGTCTGGCCCGCGCGGGAACTTTCCACTGGCGGCCATTTCTCCTTCCACGGCGCGACCTTGCCCAAAGTGTGGCGCCATCAAGAATAGGGGGAATTTTCGATGGAACTAATGCATAATCCTTTTTAATTACGCAGTGAAACTTCTTTTTTTTTTTTTTTAATGCTAACTCGTGATTTTGTAGCCTTTTTATCTTTGATTCGTGATTTTTTTTTTAAACTAGCATAATCTTTTAATTTTTATAGTGTCGTATATTCGTAATAATTCCAAGTTAAAAATTTGGCAATACTTATATTATCGATTTTTTCTTCGCGATTTAATCGCCTTTTTCGTCATAAGGATCCAGGATTTTTTCTTATTCGGAGCTGGAATTGTTAAATTTTTAATTTTTTATCCTATATCTATGAGATGCGATGCGCGATAGAAATGGTAATGGTTTTTAAGATGTTTGGTTTATGTAACTATCGAAATACGTGAAGTAAGTAAATATTGAAAAGTAAAATATTCGATTGCATAAATAATGATGCATAAAAGCATACAACGTAGAACAGAGAAAGAAAATTTATAGTATTCAGTTGAAGTTTAGTTTATGACAATGTCATAAAGAATTTTAATTTTCAACATTTTACGACACTACAAATTTATAAAAGATTACATGAACGTAATAAAGTGTAATGTGGTAGATAAATTGACAAAAGACAACAATGTAAATGAAAAAAATAACGTGATCTCAATAAATAAATTTTTACGATCGTAAAAATAAAAATCTAGATTATCGATGTACAATTTTATTATATAAATCGTTTTCTCTTATCTGCTCTTAATAATTTTTCTTTCAACAGTTTTAATCGTGATAAAGAATGTATCGATTATATGTATTACATTTTACATACACGGTATTTTTCAAACATGGACACATCCTCTCAGGCGTGTCTTATTTTTCCAAAGATCTTGTCACCTGATCTAAAAGATCAACAATGGTTCATTAATTTTAAATAGCAAATGAAAATTCAAGGCGGCTCCAAACATATTCAAAAATGTTATGCGTACATTGAAGTAAATATTACCACAGAATTTCTACGTCGTTCACTTTACACGTGATTCCGGATTTTGAAAAGAAAGAAAGAAAGAAAAAAAAAAAAAGAAGAGAGGGATGTAAATTGTATGATTTCAAGCACGTGGTTTGAGAAAAAAGATAAATAAGAGCACGTGATTAGAAATTTTGTCTTGCTATCTCTATGTCTCGATTTTCGAGACAAATATTTACCGATCTAGCTATTGAATAATCAGTTTTCAAACTTTAATGTCGCCTTGTGATCCTCCTAAGACTAGACTTTGCCATATTCCGCTATAAAATACGAGATGTTATAAATTACCACCCAGAGATCCCAACAAAAAGCTGGAAAGAGAAAGGAATAAAATATATTTTGAAGCTTATTCGTTCCAGAAAACAATAAAAAAGGAATGAAATATAAATAAAATATCCATCCAATCTAATCTATCGAGATACTATCATTGTTACTAGAAATTACGATTTTTATTGTGAACTATAAATATGAACTGTAACGAAGAAATTAATTACATAACTTTTTTTCTACACTTTAAAAATGTAACAAAACTGAAAACCTAACCTACATCAAAATATCACCATCGTTACAAATCAGAATTTCTCTCATTAACTAATAAAAATTTATAACTTCTCGATCAGCCTGCATCATATATATTTCCAAAATTTCCATTAACTGAAATTGGTTAATTGAAGTTCTGCGCGATAAAAGCATCGCGCTCTTCGATTCGATATCGTCTTAATTATTCGAAACATCGATCGACTGTCGCGAATCTCGCGACAGCTGTGCAAATCTCTCTCTCCTCTACTTTACACTCTACAGAGAGCATTATTTAATCGTATAAATAAATCCATTATACACGAATCGATAGGAGAGGATAGGAGAGAGATGAGAGGTGATCAAGAAGCGAAAGATACGGGAGAAAGATTGACCATTGCGATCACACACGCTCGATTATTTCTATCCGCGAAATGAATGAAAACAACGAATCCCATTCGCGGGATGTGTTGACACATGGAATGAGGTAACGATCGTTGCCCGATCGTTGATGATGGCCTCTCGACGCAACTGTCGTCCAGCGTCAGGTGTTCGAGCATCGATTCCGTCATCATCCGCGAACAATTTTTGCTTCGAATAGATCCGGATGGATTTTATCGATCAAATTTCTACCACGGTACGTCCAAAAACATACTTTTTTTTCTTTTGTGTATTTGTGCTTCTCTTCTTCTTCTTCTTCTTCTTCTTCTTTTTTTCGTAATAAGATGTATAATTGTGAAGAATTTGTTCTGGGTGTTTTATTGTTCTAAAAAAAGAAACGAAGGAATCGTGAGAATGTTAAAAATTTTGTTTTCTATAAGGGGATTAATATTCGAAAAAAAATTCGTCGATAATTTTCTACTTTTCTAGATACAATTATTCGAATTAATTTTGTTTTCTTCGTGTTTAAAAAAATTATTCGTTATATAAAAGACCATCAATGTTCCATTACGGAATTAAGAATAACAAATT